GCGGCCCAGACTTCTCACGCGTGTAGTCGCCCGCCACTGCCGTATCCCCTCCTGCCGCAGGAGCCAGGGCAGCAGACCCTGGAGTGGGCCGGGCCACCCGCAGCCCCTCCATGGGTTTAGATGCACCCCACGTCCCCGAGGAGCGTGGTCGAGGCGGAGATAGCCGTGGCCTATTTTTAACCAACAAGCCAGGGCAGCTGTGACTCAGTGTGGACAAGCCCTGCCAGGGCTTCCTGGCCTGGAAGGAAGGGGGCGGGCCCATGCGCACACTGGCACCGCACTCCCAGTACCCCATGACATGGAGCCCCGGGGACAGACAGCCCACCCAGGCCCCAGCAGTGCCGGCCCTGCCAGCATGAACACCGAGCCATGGGGGGATGGTAACGGGAGGCCAGCCCGCCCACCTGCTGCTGTCTCTCCAGGCTTTTGCTGAGCACAGACTGGGCAGACAGGGCAGAGTCGGGCTCAGCCGGACTCCTCTTGGGAGGGCCTGTGCCGGACAAGGCCGAGGGTCAAGGAGCGTCACTGCAGACACAGTGACCCGGCCACACGTTCCATAAAGTACCTTCATGTGCAGGCCTGAGTACGGAGGCACCAAGGCATGGCCCAGCCCCGGAGGACCATGCTTCCCCCGGGAGACAGACAGACAGACAGAACACCCAGAGCACTCCGGACACAGCGGAAGGGGGCCATGCAGAGAGAAGTGAACGGTGCTTCATGCCAAGGGCGAACTTAGCCACGACCCGGGTGAGGGAGCCCCGGGAAGCAGCACACCTGACGCTCCCTTTGCGCGATCGTCCAGCGACAGCGAGACCCTGGCTGAGAGGTCTACCCGAGGCTGCCGGGGCTGGGAGAATGGAGGGTTTGTCTGCACAGGGGTGCAGGGGAGTTCCGAGGAGCAGGTCTGTCTGGTGTCTCGGTAACGGTGGCAGTTACATGGCTTCCTCTATCCGGCAAACATGGGCACATAACTCACATGGCGACATTATATTAAAACAAATGTTGGGATGATTTTTTAAAAATGCAGTGGGACTTAAAGAAAAGAAATATTTCATTCTGCTTCGGACGGGAGAGGGTGGTGGCCCGGCCTGGAAAATGAACAGGGGGAGTGGGGTGCCGGGGCAGAGGCGGGCAGAGGAGGGCAGAGGAGGGCAGAGGAGGGCAGAGGAGGGCAGAGAGCAGGCTCTTGTCCTGCTTGCGTTCCTCTCACCTGGCTCCTGCCAGCACAGCAGGCCTGGTGGACTCTGGGAGAACTAATCTTGGAGGAAAACACTGGGCAAACGCACGAGCCTTAACTGAAGCCCACTGGGTCCTCCTGTCTACTTAAGACGGGACAGGCCTGGGAGGGGCGGGGATCGGGTGGAGGTGGTGGCGACCACACACTCTGACCCATCCGGGCCACGCCGGGCGCTGCAGAGCCGCAGCCCGCTGGACTTCCCGGAGCAGCCCTGGTAGAACCTGGCACAGGAGCAGTGAAGTCTGCACACCCAACCGGCATCTTGGCCTGGCGAGCCTGGACACAGAACATGCTCCTTCAAGGCCTCTCGGTGCTTTGGCCACTGCCCAGTGACAGTTGGGCCAGGCCTTCTCTGACCTTGTCGGGGAGCGGTCCCAGCTGCTGATTACACAAGCTGCTCTTCCAGAGTCCATGTCTCCCCCGAGGAAATGAGCCAGAGACACCAACTGCCAGGCCGGGGGCATGCGGCCTTCCTCGCCAGGGTTCTGGGCCACACCTCACAGGGATCCAGGAAGCGTGACAGACCGGGGCCTCCTTGGGGACGCTGCTCCGTGAGCTCTGCGCCAGCCTCCTCCCTCTGCCCCCTTATTGAGCATGGGTGGGCACAGAATGGGCGCCCCTCCACACCACGGCCACTTCCCTGTGTCTCTAGGTGAGCCTGCCCTTTGCCTCTGGCACGAACTAGCCCAATTCTGGCATCTGCAGCCCATAAACAAACGACTCTCCCAGGCCGAGATGCTCGGCGCTCGCGTGCACACTGCATGGCAGCTTCCGCGCTGGCGGGAGGACACCGGGACGCCCACACAGCGCCTGTCACCCCGTGAACCCAGGGTCTTGTGCAAAGCGTCACATCGCTGTCCCTGGCAAGCTCTTCAAGTCTCAGAGACACTCATTTCATAAACTCTTCAGGAACACTGCGCTTTCTTGCCAACAACTCAAAATTGTGCTTAGGCCTCTCCGAAATGCCCGAAAACATGCACTCTCCTGACGAAGAGGAAAAGGGGGTAAATGCACTTGTGAAAATGATTATTTACTGCCTGGGACGAGGACCTCAGCTCCTAGTCATAGCCTAGGTATTATTCTAGAGGTGAACGACATTCCCTGACTTCCAAATTCCTCCTATCCCTGCCCAGACGCCCAAAAAACCTTCCACAAGAGGCAGCAGTTTATTCTCAAATTAAGATACAAAGACAACGCCTGACTCACGCAAACTTATTTACACTGTGGTGCGAATGACTAACAGTGTCGCCCAGAAACCGGCTCAGCCAGGAGCACCTGAACACCCACCCACACAGGAAAGAACTAGAGAAGGTGGAGTTGGAGGCGTGGAGCTTGGTTTGTCCTGACTTCACAGCCAACAAACAGGACCTGAGGGCCCCGGACAGCTGGACCCCCCGGTGCCAGACACGTGGCGCACACCAGCTGTAACTCCACCCTGCCCAGGGAAGAACAGTGCAGAGGACGGCAGAAAAAGCAGAATGTCTTTCCAGAAACGTGCACTGACCCGCCTGGCTCCGCTCACCCAGAGGCGTCCACCTAGTCTCCACCTGTGGACGGGACACTTGGCTGGTACCTGTGGCTTTGATGGCCTGGAGGTCCTGCTGGCTCGGGTGCTGAAGCGCTCGGTGGGCAGGAGACTGCCTGCACCAGAGCTCCGAGATGGTGCCCAGGACTGTGCCCGGGAGTCTGCCTCAGGCCGGCTCGGAGGTAGGCATTTTGGCACGCGTGGACAGAGGCTCGTTAGATGACCAACCCCGGCCCTATAATTAAGACATCGGCCAAACATGAGCCTGGGCGTCCTTTCAGAAACATTCCGCCTTGCTCACGACCTCTCTTTTCTTCCTTTATCGCTCTCTCTCTTCTAAAAGATTTTGACCGTAGGGTGTGTGCACTCATCTGAGAGAGACAGGGGAGAAGGGTGTGAGAAATTCCCCCCTAGAGAGGATGCCCACGCCACAATCCTTCCCCTCCACCCTCCCCCCTCAGGATTCTGGGTATGCACGCACACTCGTCAGGCATGTTTCTCAAACTGCCAGGTCCAGGACTCAAACTGTGGAGTTGGCCGTGTGGGATCCAGTACCTTAACCACCACGCCACCTGCTGGCCCTCTTCTTTTCTTTTTTAAAGCTTCTTTCTTTCATGAGCGAGAGAGAGACATGGGGCGGGGGCGCCTGCAACAGTGTCGCCACGCCGTGATCCGCCGCCAGCCTTAGCTGGCCAGGGTCATGGCACGCGTGCCTGGTGTACAGACAGGCTTGGGAGGTGAGGCTGGGACCCTCCCTGTGGGT